AGAATGTCAGAGTTCTTGAAGATATTAATCTAATCTACTCATTTCATAGAGAAAAAAAATCTTAGCTTCCCTTAAACTTAATAGCAATCTTATATATGTGCAATAGCTAGTCATATAATGAAATATACCAATCACAGTAGCAACAAAAAATAAAAAACCCTAAATAATAAATTTAACAAGAAATATGCTAGAAACATCCATGAAGAAAAGCACAACAAATTAGTGATATGGCATCAATAAAGGACTTGGGTAAGAACAGAGCTATAAAATGTCTTTGGAGGTAAAATTGACTATTTTACTTATGTCACAATTACTTTCACAGTAATTGTCATCTACCAGCAGAAACTAATCTAATAGTGGAGTGATGTATATTAAACACTTTTTCATGTTTTTTCCTCAATATTCCATTATTATCAAACATTGTCTTCAGAATGAAAGCAAATTATTATTTCAAATATCAACAGTGCCTTGGCTGGGTGTGGTGGCTCATGCCTGTAATCCTAGCACTCTGGGAGGCTGAGGTGGGAGGATAGCTCGAGGTCAGGAGTTCAAGACCAGCCTGAGCAAGAACGAGACCCTGTCTCTACTAAAAATAGAAAGAAATTAGCTGGACAACTAAAAATATATAGAAAAAATTAGCTGGGCATGGTGGCGCATGCCTGTAGTCCCAGCTACTCGGGAGGCTGAGGCAGAAGGATCGCTTGAGCCCAGGAGTTTGAGGTTGCTGTGAGCTAGGCTGACATCACTGCACTCTAGCCTGGGCAACAGAGCGAGGCTTTGTCTCCAAAAAAAAGCCAAAAAAACAGTGCCCACTTAAAACACTCCTTTGTCTTCCTCCTTGCATACACAGTCTCATCCCAGCCATCTCAATTCCAGTTCCATAATCGCACCATCAAGCTATTAAACATTTAGTTTGTCCATGACAACCCTATTAATTTTCCTATTCTATCTATGAGAAAACCGAGGATTACAGTGGTTAAGTAACTACTTGCCAAAGGTTAAACGCTGAACATATGATTGATTAACTCTCAGATTTACAAGATTTACTTTTACTCCATAGCCTAGGTTTTTGACCACTGCAGCCCAAACTGCCTCCTTGATATCGTAAACATCCATAACCTTTTTTATTTTATCACTTCTATACCACCCTTAGTCAACCTTTCTATAAAGCACTCTCCACTTTGTTCTCCTAAAATTCTCAGCCTTTCTAAAAATCACTCTGCTCTATCTAACTATACAAATGCTGCTTCCCATCCTCACCCTACTTTCATCATGAGCCAAAGTTTAATCATCGTTTAAGCCTATTCCTTACTTCCTTGTTCCCCTCTCTGCTGTAACAGTACCTGCTCCCACGTCTGCTATAGAGCTTTTACGTGCCAGTGTTGGCTTCTACGTCTCTTTGCCCCTTTGTTCTCTGCATTCCTCCTAGAAGAAAACCGTGCGAACCAAGCCTAAATCTTCTTGAGATATTCAACGGCTAGTCAGTGCACATGACACGTGTTGGGTACTCAACACATATCTGCTAAAAAGGAATGGATGAAGATTATAAAGAATAAAATAAATGAAAACTCATATTTAGTTAGGAATAGTTTAGTGTATTAGTCAATTATATTCCTTTGATCTGAAGAACAGTAACATAAGGAAGATAATAAATGTGAAATGTAGAGGAAATCCATTCTGAGAGGAAAATTCATAGATGTTATAATACTAACATTCTAGTATTGCTTTATTAATGATACTCAAATGTACGAAAGAGGTATAAATTTTGTTTTAAGTATGTTTGGCTTCAATATATTAAATAGGTATAAATTTTGTTAATTTTAAGAAAAATATAGTACATAATCAATGAAAAATTATATTTTTATCACCTATTAACAATTTTTACAGCTTGGGTAGCTGGGGGAATAGAGGTGCCATTAAGAGATGGAAGAAATGGAAGTGGAGTAGGTGTTAGAGGGATAAAGGAAGGACATGTGTGAAAATTATGACTTCACTTCCGGACGGTATAGAAAAACCATAAAGCCCTATTACTGAAGGAATAAGCATTTAATCAGTTAATTAACCGTGGTAGTTGGATTTATTGAGCTAATAAAAAATATCTATTTTTATTCTCTAAAACAGTGCTGTCTTAACAGAAATATAAAGCTAACCAGATAGGTAATTTTAAGTTTTCTAGGAACCACATTCAAAAAATTGTTTTCAGTAATATATATATGTCAATATATTACTCAAAATATCATATCAAAATGTAATCAATCCTTAAAAACCATTAGTGAGTTGTTTAGAACTATATCTTCAAAGTCCAGTATGTGGTTAACACTTACAACACATCTCAATCCAGATCATGCAATTTCAAGTGGCGTGGCTACTATATTGGACAGCATAGCTCTAAAGCAACTGACATGCAAAAAGAAAAAAGGAAAAAAAACTATCTTTTTGTAATAGAATTCAGTTGTTAAGCTCTACTGTAAAATATACATGAGACCCCTAATGTAAAAGCTGATTTCAAAATTTGACAATGACAATGATAATGATAAAGTAATTATAGTTATAAGCATGGCTTTTATTTACTTAATTCTCACAACAACCCTATGAAGATTAGAATCTCCATTTTACAGATGAGGACACGATCCCAGGCAACCAGGCCACAAGGAAATATTATATATCTCATGAAATAATAAAGGAGAATCCTATGTACTGACATGGGAAGATATGCAAACTATATACAAAAACATTTATACTGCACAGTAAGTTAAAAATCAGGTTGTGGAACCAAATGTTTACTATAATGTTCTTTTTCTAAAAGAATAGTACAAGAAAATAAGAGACATTCTCACACATTTGTACTGCCACATAAAACCCTCAATTGCAATTCTACTTATATCGAAAAAGGTTTGGAAGGTTAGAAACAAACAGCTAACATTGATTATGCCAGGATGAGGAGAGTTTAAGTTAAAAAGTCTCTTTAAAAATTTTTTATCTTTTTATATAGTTTTAAATCATGCGTATAATGAATGTTGGCAGGGAGAAAAAATACAACAGGCTTTTAAAAATAGTAGAACAAAAGAGGAATAGCCTTGAATTGGACAGTAATCCTAAAAATTCTGAAACCACAACAAAGGATATGGAGTATCGGGGACCTTTGCCCTCCAAAATTTTGCCAGGTAAATATAATTTAAGAAATGCTTTTTTGGGGAAATATATATTTTAGGAGACCATTCAAAATGTGCCTATCCTGCATGATCTAGATTTTATCTCTGGATAAAACTGGACTATAGGAAGCATCTGTAATCATCTTGCTCCTCTAAAGAAGGGGTCAACAAAGTTTTTTGGTAACGTATATATTTTCAGCATTGCAGGCCATATGGTCTCTGTCATAACTATGTCAGCTCTGCCATGGTAGCTCAAAAATATGTAAACAAATGGTATGGTTGTGCTCCAATAAAATGTTCTTTATAAAAACACTAGATTTGGTCCATGGCTAATAGTTTGTCAACCCCTGCCCTAAAGAATAAAGTTCAGGGAGTTTGGTTATGACATGACGATACTTTCCCCCTAAAAAAGATAATTTTAAGACACAGCTACGAGAAATCTTCTTTGGCATTTAGCAAAGGAGTGTTGGTGAGGATACCATGCACCCCATCTCCTAGAAAACTCCCCTTCAAAAAATTTTTTTTAGTTTTATATGGCAAGAAACATTTTCCTACCATGGGATATTTATCTTTCTCTTTAGGGAAATGCAAATCATGTAACTGATGATGTCTGTAAGAATGATCAGAAAAATTGGTACATTAATTTATAAAAATGGTTTCAAGCCAGGTTTTCTAATGTTACCTAGCAACTCTTTCTAGGTCTTGATCTTTATTCTTGTTACTTTCTCCCTAAGCCAAATTTTAGCTATCTTTACTTTCTATTTGATTGTCCTGAAAACTGAGGGGGAAATTTTTGTAAAAAGCAACTCACCTGTGACTTCATCATATTCTGCTCTCTTCCAAAAGGGCAGATGCCTAAAAAAGCAAAACTGGTGATCAGAATGAAGTTTTCATAGCCCAAGCCAAGACTGTAGCTTCCACATTCACCAGTCTAGGAACAAGCACCACAGGAAGTCAGGTGGATAAAAGACTACCTTGTGGGAGAAGGTTGTTTGAGCCTGACAGAAGGACCAAGAAGCACCATATGAAACAGGCATCAACCTTTATTCCTCTTCTGCCTATATGATCATATTAAACTTCGACTGTTTTTTTAATTGGATAGATATGAAGATATGTTTCCAGCTGATTTACTAACAACTTATTGTTCTCCCTAGGAACCAGAAATTCTATTTGTAGAACATTATCATAAGGCAATAATCATGAACTGATATATAAAAAGAATTTAACTGCATATGTAACTCCCTGGCAGTAAGAATGGGAATGACCAAAAGGAAAACTGAGGAATGCATTTCTTTATTTCCCAGAAAGAACTAGCAGCCGAATTCCAACATCTCCCAAAAGCCCTCTTATATTTCCTCCCAACTCAGCAAACTCTCCAGCCAAAACAATATTCATGGACTAAAATGTTAATTTTAAGGTGTTTTCTATTTAAATTGTTATTGTGGATTTTCAACAGTGCTAATGCCTACATACAAAAATGGTGATAGGTTGGAACCATTGATAAAAGAGAATATACCACCGTGCAGGAAGGTACATACCGGGGAAATATTTCTCAGTCCCAGGATGAGTCTCGTGGACAGGCCTGAACTGGTTCAGAGGAAGTGGGGGCTCCCATGACAGGGAGACTATTTTATATGGGGGGGTACCCTGGGCTTTATCAACACAGATCTGGAAGGAAGCGAGAAATAGTCATATTCATCTTTGGAAACCGAGCAGATGTTCGATAAATGTTTCTTGAATAAAATATAAAATGATTTCAATAAACTTAGAAAGAAGAGAACTAAAATCACACTTTTCAAAAGAATCCTATCCCTTTTGATTTGTTTGGTTTTGCTGCAAAATGATCATTTCTGGGATGGGCACCAGAAAAGACTAGGAAAAGATGTGAGAAGGGGTTTGACCTTAAGAACTCAACAATTGCCTACGACCTGTGGAATTTAATGTATTTAGTAAGTAAAATCCTTTCCCAGTAAATTGCGCCTAGCCATCATGACACACTGACCCCATTATTGTCTCCTCCAATTCTCGGAATCCTTGGGCCTAGCAACCACATACCCTACTCAATTCCCCACGTCCATCACGTCACTGACCTCATGGACGGCCCGGTCATTTAGTCCACACCTCCTCGACCACCACCAATCACTGATTCTTCAGAGCTCCCTAAATCACGGACCCGAGTTATCCGCACCAATCAATCAGTCCACCTGCACTCCATTTCTGACCCGACAGACACCCCATCATCTCAGCATTCCCTAGTTACTAATCGCATAGCTCAGTCCACCCCTGACTCCCCAATAGATCCAACACTAATCCCACATACATCCCCCACCAGTGACTTCATAAACCTATCGCTGACCTCACAGACCCCTCCCCTGCCATTACCAATCCCGCAGACTCATCACCGCACATTTCCTCCTCCTCACCCCCAGCTCGATTATTAGGTCCCGAAACGACCATCACAGCTTAATGGGGACGGCTGTCACATCCATATTGGGGAACTCTCCACTTCCTGTTGGCGAGCAAAGCGCCTGGGCTCCCGAGGTTGCGCTGTTCCGTACCGGGCGATTCTGCCCATTCCGCTCGGTGGGCGGCTTTGTTCAGGAGGCAACATGGCTGCACCCTGGCGCCGTTTCCGTATGGGAGCCGCCATCTTGAGAGCTCTTCGGTTCCGTACAGGCAGAGGGATTCGACAGGTTCCGAGCCTCAGACTGGGCTGTGCCACCGTGGTAGCGAAGGGAGGGGAAGATGGTGGAAAGGAGGACGAAGACGCAAACCAGTAAGGTGCACACTTTTGCAGAGAGATTTTACAGGGGGATTGGAGAAGTTGAAGTGATACCATCCTCTTCTGGAATGATGCTTTGGTGAAAGAGGAGGAATTTGGAATGGTACAATATTTCCGTTGGGGATTCTATTTAAATGGTACAGTCCTCTTCCGGGCCGTTCCAGTGTGGGAGACAGGGGCCAAAGTTAATAGCAACGATAAGAAAGCCTCCAAGCGCGAAGTTACTATACTGTACAGTAATACAGTGTAGGAGCCGACTGAAAAAAAAAAGGGAAGAAAATTGAGTGACAGGAAACAGGAGACAGGCTTAAAATAAAGGAGACAGTGAGGAAATAACGGGGCAAAAACATGCAAAACGTTAAGAACAGAGAATGGGAACTGAGGGACTAAGAGTGAGAGACTGGGGACAGAGGCGAGGCGCAATGAAGGAGAGGGGAGAGTGAGGGAGATGGGGCGCCTGAAAAGAGGAGGACGCTGACGGAATGGAAGGGGAAACTGCGGTCGGTCGGGTGATCCACCGTCCCGGTTTGCCTGAAACTGTCCCAAGATTAGCGGTGAAAGTCCTGTGTGCCAGGAAATCCCTCCCTGAGACTTCTGAATTCCTAGATTTTCGGGATGCGTGGGAAAAAGTTAGAGGGAAAGTACAAAACCCATGCGGTGGCCCAAAAAGTAGGGCTGGAAGCAACAGTTTGTATTGTCAAGTGGATAAGGCATAGATTTTGTGCCTTCCCTCGTCGCTGTTGCTGTTTTTTCCCCTGACGCCTGACGTTGGCGACGATGGTTTGCAGTTTACAGTAATAGATTATCCACGGTTGCGTCACTCTGGAGTGTTGGGTTATAAGTGTGTGATTTATGTGCATTGCAAGCGTAAGCATTAACGATCACTCTGACGTTGTAGTTAACTGTTGGGCTCTGTACCGATTATAGTGCTAGTTTTGTTTTTGACATTGTAAATATTGTGATCATATTTCCTAAGAGTTCAGATAATAAAAATGGATATGATTATAATACCAACGCCAGCATGATCCAGACATCCAGGAAAGGCACTTATTTTAATGACGGCTGTAAAGATATGTAGGTGAACTAGAGAAGTAAATAACTAAAATAGAACATACTGCACAATATACAAAAAAGAATTTGGGATTGGGCATAGTGATGAAGGGGATGTGAAAGCAGCTATGGAGACGGAATCTTACAAGTCTGAGATCAGACAGGCAAGTACTTAAAATAAATAAAAAGCTTTTCCTCTCCCCAAAAGACACCAGTGCTGAGTTGAAAATAGTGGCTGCTGAATTAACTTTGGCAGACCACACAAATTTATTATGACATAGTTCCTTTCATTGCTGTAACAAACTGAAGAGAGTAACATTTCCTAATTCAGATGTTACAACTAAAATGTCCTGAACAAAAGGAGAAATTTTGGTCACAGATGTCTTGGCCTCCTACCATATAGAACCAATCCTGCTTTCAACAGTGTGTCGTCTTCTTTTCTTATAATGTTTTTATCTGGCTTTGGTATCAGCATAATACTGGCCTCATATTAATAGAATGAACTAGGAAGTATTCCTTCCATTTTAATTTTTTGGAAGTTTGAGAAATGTCAATATCAGTTCTTTAAATGTTTGATAGAATTCACCAGTGAAGCCATTGGTTCCAGAACTTTTCTCTTTTTAA